CCTAAATATCGAGCAATAGTAGCCACCTGGCATAAGGGGGACCCCAGGAAAGCATACAGCATGGCATCCGTACCTTTACTATAAACATCCGATTTGGACCGGTGGAGGTGTTCCACAACCCTATCCACCGTCCACCGAACATCTGAGAGCTGAACACCCCCACAAACAACCAGATTGGAGATGACCAGTTCCCCAATCTGAAACGCCTTGAAGAAGCTGATAGAATATTAACTACATGCACCACGGACATGTTGTCCGTCTATAAAACCACCTTCCGATCCTTGAGTAGATCACCCTAGAGAGATAGAGCCACCAACACAGGCAAGAGCTCCAGGAAGGCCAAATTCCACATCAGCGGGCTACTGGTCCAGGCCCCCAGCCAAGTCGCAGCAAACCACCGACACCCGAAATAAGCCCCAAAACCTACACTGCCCGAGGCATCCGTGTACAGGTCAAGGTCCACTGCCACCACCGCTGCAAAAGAACACTGTCCCATTAAAGTCTTTCAAGAAGGTGTCCCAGACATCAAGGTCCGTCCCCACGGGTTTGTATATCCGAATAAAATGATGCAGAGACTGCACCCCCACCGTTGCTCGTGAGAGACTGCGACTGAAAATCTTCCCCCTCAGGATCACCCGACACGCAAAGTAAAGTTTCCCAATCAGTGACTGCAGTTGCTTCAACATGACCTTCGGAGACTGACGGACTCCAGCCACCACCTCCCACAGGCCCCAGGAGTTTGTCCTGGGGAAGATGAAATTCCCCCCGCAGGGAGTCAATTTCCAGACCTAGGAAACCGAGACACTCCGTCGGGCCTCAGTCTTGCCTGTCACAAGCAGTACCCTGAACACACCAGTCACTTATTCAATTGTCCGCAGCAGATATCGGCACACTGGAGAATCATCCGGGCCCACACAGAGAAAATCATCCAAGTAGTACACCACTGACCGATACCCTGATTCCTTCCGAACCACCTATTCCAGGAAGGTGCTGAAGCCTCAAAATACGAGCAAGAGATGGAACAGCCCATCGAGAGCAAAAGATCCACGAAGTACTGGCCCTTGAAGAAACACCCCAGCAGGTGTCCACCTTAGCCATCTACGCCCCCAACCAGTCTTCTTAACCAACACGACCACTTGGTCGAATGATGCATACGAGACTGAACACAGTTCCCTGGCAATGTAATCATTCACAGAGGCGCCAAACGGCCCACCTTCAGACTCAACTGAACCTCTTTGAAAAGCTTTTCCTGAACCACCGCTGGAAAATCCCCCACCGACTTTAAGTTAAGAAAGTTCAAAACCAACTCCCTGTCCCGAAATGTATCACAAAACCATGTGTAAAACCTGACCGGTAATGTGTGCATCACCCACATTACCGTAGAGGCATAGCCACGGCAGCATCACGTCTACTTTCACCGACGTTAAGCCCCCCACAGCTTTATTTATAGTGCAGTATATTGCTTTATTTATAGCTCGGTATTTAGCTTTATTTATAGTGTGGTATATAGCTTTATTTATACTCGGAATATAGATTTATTTATATCGCAGTATATAGATTTATTTATACTCGGTATATAGCTTTATTTATAGCTCGGTATATAGCTTTATTCATACTCGGTATATAGCTTTATTTATGCTTGGTATATAGCTTTATTTATAGCACAGTATATAGCTCTATTTATAGCACGGTATATAGCTTTATTTATAGCTTGTTATATAGCTTTATTTATAGCGCGGTATATAGCTTTATTTATAGCGCGGTATATAGCTTTATTTATACTCAGTATATAGCTTTATTTATACTCAGTATATAGCATTATTTATAGCACGGTATATAGCTTTATTTATAGCGCGGTATATAGCTTTATTTATACTCAGTATATAGCATTATTTATAGCACGGTATATAGCTTTATTCATACTCGGTATATAGCTTTATTTATAGTTCGGTATATAGCTTTATTTATAGTGCGGTATATAGCTTTATTTATACTCAGTATATAGCTTTATTTATAGCGCGGTATATAGCTTTATTTATAGCTCGATATATAGCTTTATTTATACTCAGTATATAGCTTTATTTATAGAGCGGTATATAGCTTTATTTATAGAGCGGTATATAGCTTTATTTATAGCTCGATATATAGCTTTATTTATACTCTGTATATGGCTTTATTTATTGTGGGGATATTTGTGGGATAATAATAGTAAACAGTGAGAATTGCCCACTAATTCAATTCTCAGATCCCAAAGATCGTTATCGAATAAGTGAAAAGTATTTCATATAAATAAAATCACAATGTTATAAAAATATAGATTTATTTTATAAAAACAATTAATTAACGATATTATTAGGCAACATGCATGATGATAATCAGTAAATATTTAGTATGACATAATATGTAATACAATGGAGTGGCTATACACGTTTCAATGGCTAAACAGCATTTTCTGTCAAGACTTCATTAGTCATTTCCTGGAACTATCCAATAAGAGAATCTACCATGTTATATAAGCAGAGTTTGGTTTTAATTTGCCTAAACAGATCTTTTTTATCTTATTTTAGAGCAAATCAATACAGCTGGATAAATATCATGATATGCTAACATGTGATATGTCACATAAATACATGATTAATTTCTATCTGCAGCATAGAAAGTTCAATAATGTACTTCTTTAGTAACTAAGATTTTTTAAATATCGAAATCTGATCGTGATTTATCCAGTCATATATCATGCTATTAGAAAATTTGAATTAATTTAATTAATTAAATGAAACCAGTATAATTACCAGTTGAATAGATATTTCATCAAATTGGTAGTCTCAGGAACTTGTTTGGATGTCTCTCTGCATGGAGGTGCGTGGGTAATAGTGAAAAGTAGTGTTGGTTAGAAAGTGTCAAAGAGTTTGTGAGTTGAGTGTTAGTCTCAGATGTTGTCCTGGGTTTCTCTGCATGTCCTAGTTGGAGTCCCCAAACTTCCAATTCCTCCTCCCCTCTCCTCTCTTTGTCTTAACTTTTAAAGGGCCAGACTCTCTGTATGTCATTAGTTGATAACCCAATAGGAAGCCATAGGTGTGTCCAATCTAGGGATCGCGATTTAGGTATTTGATTCATAGATGGCAGTCTCGTCTAACGAAACCTTCCTATCCAGGAAAGAGTTAACTTTTCCTGATGACGATTTTGACGTAATTTTGCTTTATCTTTATGGTTGCCATAACTTACCGTATATACTCGTGTATAAGTCGATCTCATGTATAAGTCGAGTGCAGTTTTGTGACCAACAATTGTGAAATATGCTATGCCTCGTGGATAAGTCGAGGGTAAAACTTGGGGCTATGAAATTCTGTGATTTTTATAATTATATACACACACACTCATACAAACACACACACTGCATTATATACACACACTTATATAAACAGACACTCTGCATTATACACACACACACACTCATACACACACTCTGCATTATACACACACACTCATACACACTGCATTATACACACACACACTCATACACACACTCTGCATTACACACACACACACACACTCATACACACTGCATTATACACACACACACACACACTCATACACACTCTGCATTATACACACACACACACTCATACAAACAATCTGCATTGTACACACACACTCATACAAACAATCTGCATTATACACACACACACACACACACACTCATACAAACAATCTGCATTATACACACACACACACTCATACACACACTCTGCATTACACACACACACTCATACACTCTGCATTACACACGCACACTCATACACACTGCATTATACACACACACACTCATACATACACTCTGCATTATACACACACACACACTCATACAAACAATCTGCATTATACACACACTCATACAAACACACACTCTGCATTATATATGGACACACTCATACAAACACACACTCTGCATTATACAATGCAGAGTGTGTGTGTTTGTGTGAATGCAGAGTGTGTGTGTGTGTATATAATGCAGAGTGTGTGTTTGTATGAGTGTGTGCAGGTCCGGACTGGCCATCGGGCACAGCGGGCAAATGTCCGGTGGGCCGCGGTGGCCATGGGCCGAGGCCGGCGGGGGAGGTCCCAGGATCTCCCCTGCCGGTCTATGCAGGGCCGGCACTATCCGAGCGCCGGCCCCGCTGTTTGCCATGGAGGGCCTGTGAGGAGATCAAAGCTCTCCCTCACCGGCCCATTTAAACAGACCTGCGGCTGGGGAGGGTGGGAGAGGACCTGGCGGAGCTCTATCTTGCGGCTCCGCCGGGTTCCTCTTGCGAGATCCAGCGCGTTGCCATGGCAATGCCCCGATCTCGCGAGAGTGAACTCTGGCCTACAGGCCAGAGTTCACTAACCACTGGACCACCAGGGATGATGAGTGCCGCCCCCCCCTCCTAGATACCACCGTGCCGGACCCCTCCCAGGCTAAAGGTAAGGAGGGGAGGGGAGATATAATGCATTTTTGTTGTTTTTTTTACCCTCCCAACACACAATCACTTTTAACATTCACACACATCACACTCAGCACTCTCACACACATCACACAGCACTCTCACACACTGCACTCTCACACACATCACTCTCACACACCACACTCAGCACTCTCACACACATCACACTCAGCACTCTCACACACAGCACACTCAGCAGTCTCACACACATCACACAGCACTCTCACACATAATACTCAGCACCCTCACACACGTCACACTCAGCACTATCACACACAGCACTCTCACACACATCACACTCAGCAGTCTCACACACACATCACACTCAGCAGTCTCACACACATCACACTCAGCACCCTCACACACATCACACTCAGCACTCACACACATCACACTCAGCACTATCACACACAGCACCCTCACACACATCACACTCAGTACTATCACACACAGCACCCTCACACACATCACATTCAGCAGTCTCACACACATCATACTCAACACTATCACACTCAGCACACACATCACACTCAGCACCCTCACACACATCACACTCAGCACTATCACACACGGCACCCTCACACACATCACACTTAGCACTCTCACACTCAGCACCCTCACACTCATCACACTCAGCACCGTCACACAAATCACACACAGCACCCACACACACAAAGCACACACCACACACACAGCACCCTCACACACAAATCACACACATTGCACCCTTAAACACAGCACCCACATACAGCACCCTTAAACACATCATACACAGCATCATCACACACAGCACCCCTCAAACACAGCATCCATCACACACACATACTGCACCCTTCACATACACACTACACCCCTCACAGACACCCACTGTACCCCTCACACATACACACAGAACCCCAACACACTGCACTAAACACACACACACACAATACTTCCAAACATATATATATATATAGAGAACCCCAGACAGAAATGGGATACGGCTGTACAATCTATAAAGGGAACATATAAAGGAAAAAAACACAATAGTGTAATACAGTAAATACAATGAATAGTGCGCTTAAATGGATGCACTCACAAGATGATGAAGATAGAAAAGCATTCATAGGGTGCCTCCCCAGATAGCATAGGGGGCTAGTGGTTTCCCCCTTTCCGATGTAGAGCGACCAATGGAACACGGGACTCCAAGTAAGTAGTAGTAGAAAAGCAATACTTTTATTTTCTTAAAAGGTGAACAAGCACCATAAGAATAAAGGTTTAAAAGTGCAGCAATAGGTCCAACGCGTTTCGTTCAAAACTTGAACTTCATCAGGGACCGCACAGTAAAAAAATCACAGACAATATCATAGATTGTAAAATAACATCCTACTTTCCCCTTAACAGAATCTCTATATATAGGGCTAGTCCCAAAGTCCCATTGGTCCATGGTGTAGGAGTATCCAGTAGCCAGCCATTCATCTATCCAGGGGTATTGTCCTCCAGCTGATAGTGTTTGGGTAGTTTGAAAAGGGCGCGTTCAATGTGAAAGCCGAAACCGGAAGTGGATGTCTGCCTTCACTTCCGCGTTCCATTTGCGTTCCACATGCGTTCCAAACACGCTCCAAATGCGTTCCAAGTACATTCGCTGCTCTTTTTCAACTAGAACAGCGTGGAGCCATCAATATAAGTGATCATCAAAAAGGACAAAACCCAAAAGTGTTTAATACATTAAATGTAATTAATCTCTAGAAGAAGAAAAGTGAATTAGTGTATATAATGTACAACAACCATGTTAAGATAGTTCATATGGAACTTCCCCCCATATTTTATATATGCCAATATCATACACCAATAGATAGTGCCATGTATATCTATTTAAAGTGACAAACATCTCCTTATTATAAAAATACAAACTCAAGTAATATATTCCTAAAAAAGTTCCCTCAATATCAATAATAATAATTTTAAACAATATAACCTACACGGTACACCTAGCTATATAGTATAAAGTTTTTTTTTGTTTTTTTTTTTTTTTTTATTATTTGTATCTTATTTATGAATTGTATTGATTAAAGACACTTCTTTTTCCATATATTTGAACTGCCAGAGCTACTTATATTCCCAAAGATACATATGGAATAATTCACATAGAGGAGAAAAAATAACCAAAAAATCAATCCAAGAAACACACCAGATCGATCCCAATATTCAGACCCCTAGGTTCAAGGGTCTTTAATTTGTGTATCCAAAAGGTTTCCCTTTGGGATAACTTTTTGATCCTATCGCCTCCCCGCCAGTAGGGAAGGACATGTTCGATACCCATACACTTAAAATCTCTAAAGGAGAAGGAAGGACAATTACTGCAATGAGCAGAGACTGAGTGAGTAACCAGTCCTTTACGTATATTATTTAAATGTTCCAAGATTCTGACCTTCAGGATACGTTTCGTGCGTCCCACATACTGTTTGCCACACGGACACTGCAGTAAGTATACTACATAGTCCGTGTGGCAACCTATCAAAGATTTAATCTTGAAGGTCTCTCCCGTGATATAACCAATAAATTCCTTAGTTCTCTCCATAAAGGCGGTGGTACATGCTTTACACACATTACATCCCCTAAAGCAACCCGATTCAGGGGGTACATTAGAACTATTCATTTTAATAGCATAGCTAGGGGCTAGCATATTTTTAAAGTTCTTATTTTTCTTAAATATCACCATCGGGCGTTCAGACAAAGAATTACCCAAAATGGGATCCTGTTGTAATATGGGCCAAAAATCACTTAGGCTCCTTTTGATCTTAAAATGGTCCGTATTGTATTGGGTGACAAAGGCTGATTTAAAATTCATATTCCCAGCAGTATTAGGAGGTTTATCCTCCAAGAGTTTATTCCGTTCAAGAAGACCAATTGATCGAATTTCTTTTTCTAACGTATTCTTATTATAGCCCCTTGCACATAATTTATTTTTTATATGGGAAGATTGAATCTGGAAGTCTTGAGGGCGAGAACAATTACGTCTCAATCTGGTAAATTGGCTCCGTGCTATACCCCTAAGCCAAGGCTTATGGTGACAGCTTTGTTGATGTACAAAGCCATTCCCATCTGTTGGTTTAAAAAAACATTTAGTTTGAATTTGACCCTGATCACAAAAAATATCAAGATCCAAAAAATGGATCTCATGTTTATTCCACTCGGGGGTGAAGACAAGATTATATAGGTTGGAATTTAGATGTTGAACATAATCAAAAAAACTATTGGAGGACCCCTTCCAAATGATGATCACGTCATCAATATAGCGCCGCCAGAGCACCAAGTTCTCCCTCCAGTCATGCCGCGACCACACGAATAATTCCTCCCATCTACGCATGTAGGTGTTGGCATAACTGGGGGCAAACCTGGTGCCCATGGCGGTCCCTGTGATCTGTAGATAATACTGATCATTAAAAAAGAAAAAATTATGTTCCAAAATAAATTTTACTGAGGTCAATATAAATTCCTTTTGACCTTGAGATAGGTCCTGATCTTGGGACATGTAGTAATCAAGAGACTCCAATCCTAAAACGTGGCTAATTACCGTATACAGAGAGGTCACGTCTAGCGTGGCCCAACTGTATTCAGGGTCCCACTCAATGCTGTCCAGTTCTTGTAAAAAGGACTTGGTATCCCGTATAAAGGAGGGTGCCCCTTGGGCGTACTTTTGAAGGAAAGAGTCCACATACGCGGACAGATTAGCAGTAAGCGAATTAACGCCACTGATAATAGGGCGACCTGGTGGATCAGGGAGGCGTTTATGAGTTTTTGGGAGGAAATAAAAAATCGGAATCACTGGACTTTTTTGAAATAAAAAATCAAAGTTTTTTAAAGATATGATTCCATTGTCTCTAGCCGTAGTCAAAATATCTTTAAGTTCTAAATTATACAACGGCATAGGATTATTCTGCAGAGTAATATAAGTTTTTTTATCCCCTAAAATATTAAGGGATTCCTTCAAATAATAAGACATAGTCATCAACACAATACCTCCACCCTTATCAGCCTCCCTGATCACCAGGTCCTCTCTTTCCATAAGATGTTTTAAAGTCGCTTCTTCCCTTCTTGTTAAATTAAAGGGGCATGATCCACTTTTTCTCTTTTTAGCAATAGATTGGAAAGCCTGATCAACCATATGTTCAAAAGTTTCTAGGAAGGGGCCCTTACTTTGAACTGGAAAAAAATGAGATTTAGGTTGAAACCTATAATCTTCCCTTTCGAATACAGTATCTATTTCCCTCTCAGTGGTAGATGGATGTAGGAGGAAATGTCTTTTTATAGTTAGAGAGCGTATAAACTTTTTAAGATCTATATAAAGGTCAAAGTCATTCGCCTTTTTATTAGGGGCAAATTTCATCCCTTTCGAGAGTAGATCTATCTCCTCAGATGTGAGTGGAATTCCAGTTAAATTAAAAATACCTCTACCCCTTACCTCCTCATTAGTAAGGGTGGCAGGACTAAGACTCTGATCTAGTCCTCTGTTCTCACCCTTTTGTGTGGTGAATCTTGGTATAAATGGGTGAACCTGTTGGGATGTTCCCAAGTTTCGGTTCTCGGACGAAAATAGTTGGTAATGAATTTTTCTTTCGGGCCCCTGTGTCTCCCTTGAAAATTTATCTCCTGTTCATTAAATTGTGTAGGAGCCCTAAACGTATCCGTTTGATTATATGTGGTCTGAGTACGGGATCTTACATTCCCCTCCCTATCTGGCGTAGGTCTTTTAGGGGAGGCGGGTCTCTGTCTGTTCCAAGTTCTAGGGTGGTAAGTAGATCTACCATCCTTAGGTGCAAAATTAGCCCTGTAGTTAGTTCTAGATCTTGAGTTACTCCTTGTTCTATTCGGTGTTCTTGGAATCATTTTCTTAAAAGGAACATAGCGTGATTTTTTTCTTATTAGTTTATTAAGAGTGGAAAAACTATTAGTTAATTTGTCCTCTTTATCCCTGCTATACTTCCTATTTTTTGTTTCAGCAATATTCTCATCAAGTTTTTTAATATTCGTTTGTAAAATTTCATCCCTCTCTTTAAAATCCCTTCCCTCTGTATTAATGGGAGGATTGGAGTCAAGTTCAATTAATTCAGCTTCCAATTTACTCTGTGATTCTTTAGAGTGTCTAATTATAATTTGTATTAGCTGAAAGGAGCAATTAGTAAGGATTTCATCCCATTCTTGTAGGAAGAGATCATCCTCCAATCCAAATGCCGGTGTTTTATCTATTCTAAGGCCACGTGGGATTAAACCTTCCTTGAGATAATTCTCCAAATAGGCTATCTCCCACCATTTTTTTGTTTCAGCATTTAATAACCTCTCTTTTTTTCTTAAAAAACTCATCTAGCCCTTTAAGAGGTTGTGGTTTGTCCCACTCTTGGAACATAGCCTCAAACCTTCTCCTACGGCTGTTCTTTAAGTTGGACAAAAAGCTCACATTTGTAGCCATAATCAATGCAATCAATAGCAGATATGTGCACCCAAAAAAAAAAAAATAGTGGATTAAACAGAAGCAAAAAAACACACAAACGAACACCTTTAAATAAGTGTTCTGATTAAATAAATTACTTAGCTTCAATCAATCTGCAGCCTCCCAGGATCGTTATCCACAACAAACGATCTTAACATATGCAAAGAACCCCAGACAGGAATGGGATACGGCTGTACCACCGCCTTTATGGAGAGAACTAAGGAATTTATTGGTTATATCACGGGAG